GCTGGCGGCCTGAAGGGGGTTGGTGGGAGATCTGGGGGTCCAGGGAGGTGCGGGCTGAACCGGGTGCGGCGCGAAGCCCCGGGCAGGTGGCTCAGTCCCGGTGTCCCTGCAGCCCCGCCCCAGCCTGGAGCTCCAGCTCCCCCCATGCACCTTACCTGGGGTCCTCCCGACCCTTGAGCCCCCACAGAATGGCGGATGGAGGAGGAAGCCCCTTCCTGGGTCGTAGAGACTTTGTCTACCCGTCCTCGGCCCTAGGTAAGGACCAAATCCCACAGAGCCTCTTGCTTCCTTGAGCCTGTCCTGGGGCCTCAACCTCCCAGCCCCCTCCTCCCAGACCTGGCCTGCCCAAGCTGAGAAGGGTTTCTCCACAGACCCCAGTGCCCCCGAGCGAGGTGGCAGCCCAGCCAGGAAGGAAGAGAAGGTACAGGTGGGCACGAGGGGCAGGGTGTGGGGAGGGCCTGGGCCGTGGCCCCCCACCTGACTGAGGAAGTCCCTCTGTCCTCTCCCCTGCCCAGAGGAAAGCTGCCCGGCTCAAGTTCGACTTCCAGGCACAGTCCCCCAAGTAAGCAGCTCTGCCAAGCCTGGGCAGCCTCTGTCTTTGCGGAATGGTGGGGACCAGGGCCTCAGGGGACACCCCCAGAGGAGTGGGGATCCGGGCTCACCCGGCAGGGCCTGCAGCAGGGAAGGCGGTCCGGAGGCCGCGGCTTGCTGTGAGGACCTGGCTTTGGCCTGCAGGGAGCTGACTGTGCAGAAGGGTGACATCGTCTACATCCACAAGGAGGTAGACAAGAACTGGCTGGAGGGGGAACACCACGGCCGGCGGGGCATCTTCCCCGCTAACTACGTGGAGGTGAGCAGCCTGCTGGGAGAGAATTAGGGTTCCTAAGATGTGGAGCCTCAAGGGGCAGGAGCCGCTTCTCCTGAGTGGCTTTGCCCCTGCAGGCCTGGCCTGGTGCTCAGCATGCGCCTGGGTTGCTGAACGAGGCTGACCCTGATCCTCACCCAAAGCCACCACCCCATTTGGAGTCTGCCTTTCTAGTTAATTTATTTTTATTTGAGGCAGAGTCTTGCTATGTAGTTCAGTCTTGAACTCACTCTGTAGCCCAGGCTGGCCTCACACTCATGGTGAACCTCCTGCCTCAGCCTCCCAAGGGCTGAGATTACAGGCATGCAGCACCACACGTGGCTGCGAATCTGTCTTCCTAAAGCTGTCCCTGTAAATAATCCTAATTGTAATTAGCAAGAATACAAAGTGGAGGGGCTGGGGATTTAGCTCAGTGGTTCCAGCGCCTACCTTGCAAGCGCAAGGTCCCGAGTTCAATCTCCAGTACCAAAAAAAAAAAAGAATGCGAAGTATATGACAATTTAGGAATCATATGAACATAGTACTTCATTCTGACATGTTACCTCCTTTTCCTCCCACTGCCTGGGGACTATAGATTGCCCCATCTTAAATATTTCATTTTATAGGGTTTCTGAGTTTCAGTGAGAAGATACTAAGTAATACAGATTTCTCCATTCCAGAGAGACAGGTTCTAGACCCATAGAAGCCTAGGTTAGCTAGATTATCTTTCATATTTGTGTCTTTAAGAATGTCAAACTAGTTGGGTGTGGTGCTGCATGCCTATAATCTGAGCAATCCTGGAAGGCTGAGGCAGGAGGGTTTCAAATTCCAGCCCAGCCTGGACAATTTAGCAAGACCTTGTCTCAAATAAAAAAGAGGGGCTGGCAATGTAGCTCAATGGCACTGTGCCTGCCTTGCAAGCTCAAGCTTCTGAGTTTGTTCCCTGATACCGAAAAAAAATTTTTTTTTAAAAAGACAGGGGATATAATACAGTTACCCCAGTACTGAAAAAAAAAGTAAACTGTTATTAGCATGAAGTTGCACTTGATGTTTCCTGATTATTCCCCTACTCCTCTTCTTTGTGGCACTGGGGACTGGACCCAAAATCTCATGTATGGAAGGCAAGCATTTGAGTACAAAACCACATTCTCAGTCCTTTTATTTGTTTATTTATTTATTTACTTTGGTACTGGTAATCAGTCTCAGGACCTTGTGTTTGTCAGGGAGGCAGGGTACCGCTGAGCTATATCCCTGTCCCTTTTATTTTTTATTTTGAGACAGGTTCTTTCTAAATTGATACGTTGCCCAGGCTGAGCTCAAACTTGTGATTCTCCTGCCTCAGCCTCCTAGAGTGCTGGGATTATAGGCATGTGACACCTCACCTGGCTTACTGTCCTTTTTTTTGTTTTTGTCTTTTATACTGAAGATGGAACTCAGGACCTTGTACTTGCAAGGTGGGCATCGGCACTACTGAGCTAAATCCCCAGCACAACTTACTGTCCTTTTAATGTCTCTAAAATGCGTAGTCATGTTCTGTTTTCCATTTTTGATATTGGCAATTTGTATTCTGGCAAGAGATTTATTTTTTTATTTAAAAAATTTGTGTTAGTCCCTGTTTGTGATATATAATGTTCCCATTCCTCGTGTCCATGTGCCCACATATACAACACATCATAATTCTTTTCTTTTTTTGCACATTTTAATCTATATTTTCTTTTGGTTGATTTCTGCCTCTTTATTATTTCCTTCTTTCTGCTTATCTTAGGTTTAATTTGCCCTTTCTTTTCTGGTTTCTTAGGGTTTACATTTAGGTTAGTGACTTGAAGCTTTTTTCCCCTAAAAAAATTTGGTGCTATAAGTTTACCTCTAACGCTGCTTTAGCTACGTCTCACAAGTGTCGTGTATTTTTTTTTTTTCATTCCACTTGAATTGCATCATTTCCTTTGTCACTTCCTGTTTGACCCACGGGTCAGGCTGTTTAATTCAGGCTCCTGAATTAATAGGCATCATCAGCCTCCTATGCTAACAGATTAACCTCTGTGACTCTGAAATCTCACAATGTACAAGATTCTGTTCTATCCATTATTTATATCCTGTTCTGTTTGTTTTGTTTTTTGAGACAGGGTTTTGCTATCTAGTTCAGGCTGGCCTTGAACTTGCTTCGATCCTCCTGCCTCAGCCTCCCGAGTGCTGGGATACAGACTTGCACCATCACATTTGGCTTAGTTATTTATATTTTAGCGGTGAAATAGTTGATTGGGTTCTTAATTTTTATGAGTAGGGTGAAAAAAATAGAGCACTGGGATTCTGGGCACCTGGTAGGGTATAAGGGAGGAACTGAGACACTGAACCAAGGAGCACTGGGTTCTCAATAGTGGTGAAAGGTAGCGAGCGTCCTCAGCTTTAGAGCTGTGCCCAGGTCCTCCCTGTGACTCAGTCCTCACTTCCTGCCACCGTCCAATTCAAGCTCTCGAATTGGTCGAGCTTCCATCTTTGCACTTGCCTTTTCCCACCCCACAGTGCCTGCTCCACTACTCACTGAGGTTCTTCCTCCAGGAAGCCGCTATCCCCTCCGCCTCCTGCAACTCCTCTGTCTTTTTTGTTTCTTTGAGACAGGGTCTCACTGTGTAGTTCAGGCTGGCCTTGAACTCATGGAGATCCTCCTGCATCAGCCTCCCCTGGGCTAGGATCATAGGTGTGTGCCTGTACACCAGAAGCCTTGGACTCTGTGCCTCACCCCCGGGCTATGTCTGCTGTCGGTGTCTGGGGTGGATGGCTTCCTGTTGGCCGAGGGAGCTCCTGCCCACGCCACCTTCTTTGCCGCCTCTCCCTCCGGAGGCCCAGGTGTGGGGTGCCTGCATCTCATCCGTCTCCTGCCCTTCCTTCTGCAGGTGCTGCCGGCAGATGAGGTCCCCAAGCCCATCAAGCCGCCCGCCTACCAGGTGGTGGAGTATGGAGAAGCCGTGGCCCAGTACACCTTCAAGGGGGAGCTGGAGGTGGAGCTGTCCTTCCGCAAGGTGGGTGGGGAGGTGGCAGCGGGCCTGGGCTCAGGGTCAGGTGTACCCACCTGTGCGCAGTCGTTCACATTTCCCACCTCTCTTAGAATATGTTCCCCAGAGTCTAGTCCTTTTTCAACGATCGTTACAAACTTCCAGTTTTGTGTTTCGGCTGCCTGTTGGTAGGCCATGAGGACCATACTCCGTATTTTTAAGGAGCAGATAGAAGTGTTAGACTGCATAATATGTAGAAAGGGTACTTTATTGGGCTGGGGTAAAACAGAGGGGAGAGCACTTGCCTAGCATGAACAAAGCCCTAGGTTCAATCCTCAGCACTAGAAGAAAAGAATTGTAAAAAAGGCTGGGGATGTAGCTCAGTGGCACTGTGCCAACCTCGTAATCACAAGGTCCTGAGTTTGATGCCTGGTACCAAAAATATATATATAAAAAGAGGAGCTTGGCTTCGTGCCACAGCCTGTAATCCTAGACCTCTGGGAGGCTGAGGCAGGAGGATTGCAAGTTGGAGCTTACCCTGGGCAATTTAATAAGACCCTGTTTCTAAATTTTAAAAAGTAGGAAAAGGGATAGGGATGTTGCTCAGTGCAAAGGCCCTGGTACCACAGAAATGGGCGGGGGGGGTGATTACCATATCAGACCCTAGGAAGATGCCTGTGTATGGTCTGGGGCTGTTAGGGCTTTTTTTAAAAATTATAGACTGAAGATATTTTGAAAATCGCTGTCCTAGAGAGTAGAACTGGTCTCCCTTGGGTTTATTTTGGGGGGCAGAGTCTGTGGGTGCTGCCCAGAAGCCCCAGCCAGGGACAGGGAAAAGCTGGTGGCTGGATGGGGAAGGCAGGGGAAGCCCCGCCCCACCCCAGGTAGTTCTGCCCTTAACGGCAGTCAGCTGGGCCCTGGTGCTTTGATGCGTTTGGTGACAGGCTGTCCCCGCATGGGAGGCAGGGGCTGGACTCGTCACTGCGGGGCGGCGCCTCTGGCCCTGCTGCTTTCCCAAGCCTGGGGTCAGCCTGGCCTGCATCTCGTAGTGGCAGCACCTTGGCTGCACTTCACACGGAAGGAGAGCAGCTCAGAGAGGGTGAGCAACTCACCCAAGACCACGCAGCGAGGACTGGGCCGCAGGCTCCCCTGCGGGTTGGAGACCTGGGGAGGGACAGAGCTGGGGACGGGGAGGAGGGGCGCACTGACCCTTCCCTGCCCGCAGGGGGAGCGCATCAGCCTCATCCGCAAGGTGAACGAGAACTGGTACGAGGGGCGCATCACCGGCACAGGGCGCCAGGGCATCTTCCCTGCCAGCTACGTGCAGGTGTGCCGAGAGCCCCGGCTCCGCGTCTGCGACGATGGC